AACCAGCGTCTTCTGGTTTTATTTTCAGTTCTGGGAAGGGGCGGGCCCCGACCTTTATACAGTTCTGTGGGGCAGCCAGGAGCCACAGGCACGGGGGCCAGGTCTCCCCCCATGAAGGCTCACCCGGGAGGTGACTGTGTCCAGGGCCGCACAGGGCGAAGCCCCTCGGGGTCCTCGTTCGGGACCCCCCCGCCCCGAGCCTGTGTCCTTGCTCAGAGCGAGTCCCGGCTGTGACCCAGTGAGGCCGGGCCGGCAGAGCTGGGGTCATTCCAGGTGTCGGCGTGGGAGGGTGGTGGCTCAAGGCCTTGGCTGGCATGCCAGCCCTTCACCCTGGTGAGGGCAGCAGAGCCAGAAGGCCAGCGTCCCCCTGTGCCAACGGGAGTCCCGGCGCCCGGCCCAGGCAGGGCCCCGGAAGCTGCGGGCGGACGCCACGGGCCACGCCTGGACTGCCAGGAAGGGCTGTGCAGACAGGCCAGAACGGCGGGTGGGCCCCGAGGGGGCATAGGTGTCTTCTGGGTGAGGACTCCATGGGGGCCCCTGCTCCCGCTGGCCGTCTCTGGCGGGGGGCCCGCAGCCCTGGTTCCTCCTGCCGTGAGGCCAGGCCTTTGGCAACTGCCCCTGCTGGTCGGGAGGGAGCAAGGACTTGCTCTGGGAAGGGCGGCGGTCGCTGACTGCAGCAAACAAAGGTGCGGGGCAGGGCCGAGGACGCACTGTGGTCAGGGGCAGGGCTGGGCCCCGTGTGCCTGCCCGGCCCCACCCCTGCCCCCCGCCGCCGGCCCCGCACACTCTCCACCCGGAGCTGGAGGGCTGGCCGTTCCAGGGGGTTCCTGCGGCAGCGTGGGGATTAATAATGCATTTATAACACATCGTCGTGGTAGCCAAAGATGATCTATAAATCGGCGGTAAATGTTTTATAATGTTTTTGTAACCCGTTATAAATGATAAATGGCAGACTATAGATGCCGGATCAAATATTTATAACGCATTGTGTGCGATGTTGGGCTGCCACAGTTCAGGAAAGCCATTAATAATAAAGTAGATGGAAATGTAAAAGTTGCCGACATGCCCGGCAAAGCCATTTATAATGGAATGTAAGATTTGGCCGCTGGAAGCAGCCCACGAGCCCCAGTGAAGCCCTGGCCAGGTTCTCCCGCAGCCTGGAGAGGAGTGGGGTCGTGAATTATTCCTGAGAACACAGACTGTCCACAGCACGTCATCTAAATACGCTATTAATGTACCCGAGGCAGCGCGTGCCGTTCGTGGGGCCTGATGAACGAATGGGTGGCCCCTTCCAACGGGGCGTCACGCTGGCAGCTCCCACTCCTGGCTGGGCACCAGGCACGGTGTTGGTGTCTAGGGCCACGGCCTTGGAGACCCGCGGAGGAGGACCGTCCCTCGGCCGCCCTGCGGCATCCACCTTCTCCAGCCGCGACCCACGGTGGCGGGCCAGGCGGGGAGCCCGCTCTCCTTCCGCAGGCAGCGCTGGTGCCCCTCCCCCCCGCGACGCCGGGGCTCTGACTGCGAACATGCGGAGCCTCCGGAGTCGGGGGCCTCCGGCACGGTCTCAGGCAAGCCAGCGTCTCACCCTGAGCCTTGGTGTTTGCGTGAGGCCCCCTTCTGTGGGACCCTTGTTGGCAGGCGCCTGCTGCAGGGGTCCCACGGGCAAGCGGGTTTGGGAACCGCTGTGCAGCATGGCCGCTCCCTTGGGCAAAGGCTCTGAGAAATCCTGTGGGAAACTCCGCAAGAGCCGGGGACCTCCTGCCCTTTCCCTCGGTCCCCCAACCCTGGCTTCTCCCCCTCCCTCTCGAAGGCCCCAGGCATCCCTGGGCCTGGTGAGCGGGGCCCGGCCCAAGGCCTTGCTCAGATCAGTGCCTGGGGGCGGAGTGCACCCGCCGAAGGCTCTGTGCTCCCAGGCTCCGCGCCGGTGCTGCCTCCGCACCCCCTCCTCGGGGCCCAGCGGCCCCTCCAGGAGCTAGACCGACGGCGGCTGGAGCGGCTGGAGCTGGCTTTCGGACGGGAATTCATGGCGCCTCTGGCCCTGTCCCTCCCTCATCCCCAGCACCTTTCCCGCCAGCCCCCCCACTTCCTCCATCATCGTAGAGGGTGGGGACAGTGCTGGCAGCAGGAGGGGGGACACTGAGACCGCTGGCCTGGACCCGGACCAGGGCGGTCACGCGGCAGGACTCCGGCCCCTCAGCCCCGTCTCTGCCTGGCTCGTCAGGGGTCCCCACTCCGCTCGGCACCTGTTTCCTGAGCTGCAGGACAGGTCGGCTGAGCCCCCTTGCGGAGGGTGGCTGGAGGTTTTAAGGAGGGAATGGGCCCGAAGGCTGACAGCAGAGGCTGGAAGGGACGTGGCTGGGCGCCCCCGGACTCCCTGCGCCGCCGCAGCTGCACAGGCTTCCTCCGCTCCCCACCCACCCCTGCCTCCGAGGAGCCCCGGCCGGGGGAGCCCTTCTCTGACACGTTCACGCCTCTTAGGCCTCCGGTCTCGTGCTCGTGTCCCCTCGGGGAAGCCGCCTCCGGGTTCTGCGCCCACACGGCCCCTCTGTCATCACTGCACCACAGCAGGGGGGGCCCGCCGCTGGGGCGGGCAGGCCACAGGCTCCAGCCGCTGAACTTGGTCCATGCGGACCTCTCGCTTGCCCGGACGCCCCACCCCTCTTCCTGGCCCCGCAGGGCCCAGGCTCGTCCCTCTGTGGCCCCCACCTCTATTAGGTCCTTTGCCTCCAGCCAGTGGGCCCGGGGAGTGCAGGGTCTAGGGGTGCACGTGCCACGACCGCTGGCAGGAGCTCCGCCACGTGGCCCCACCGACGTGCAGGGGAGGCTGACCGCTGGGTCCCGGCAGGGCGCAGGGTGCGCGCCAGGGTCCCGAGGCAGAGGCGCGGGCGTGTGCACGGGCTCAGTGGTAGGAGAGGAGGCGGAGAGGTCAGGACTGGGGGGTGGCTGGGAGGGCCCACTCTAAGGCCTGGGCTTTGCTGTGCAGGAGGCGGGGCGGGGGGAGGGGCTGACCAGGTGGCATTCCTGTTGTCCCCAATGTCGTGTTGACAGCAGGCGGGGTGGCAAGGCAGAAGCGAGCACAGAAGGCTCCGTACAAATGCAGGCTGGCCCCAGGAGACGGCGGGCGGTGGGCATGGGGGGGGGCGGGGGGCGGGTTCCTGGGGGCCGGCAGCGTGTGGAGGGGAGCCAAGGGGTGCACCTGGCAGGGCCCCGCGGGCTGGCTGTGGGCGGGGCAGAGTTGGGGCCCTGCGGGGCGAGGAGTGGCACAAGGGGCCGGACTCGGAGGCCGGGCGGGCGGTTGGGCCTGGGGAGGGTGAGGCGGGGAGCGGCGGGGGCAGCGAAGGCTGGTCGGCGTGATAAGGTCCCGGACTTTATTCAGAGGGCTGCGGAGGCCTCCCGGGGTAGGGCTTGGTCCCCAGCTGCTGGGGAAGCATGACCATGGGGACCGGGGAGGCTGGTGCAGTGATGGGGGAGGGGAGAAGTGGGAGAGGGGCTGGTGGGGACGCTGCCACTGATGCTGCGCCCGCGGTCACTGCCCGCAGAGCCGGCCACATGGAGAGTGACCAGTGGGGAGCCGGGCCCTTCCTTTCCTCGCCGGCTTTTCTAGTTCTAACCGCCACTCTCGGGTCAAGAAAACCCGGCTGGTTCCTGTTCCGGGACCAGCCAGCAGCCTGGCTGCGCTGGCACGCGACGCCCTTTGTCCTCGTGCCGGGCCCCCAGCAGGTGTGCGCAGCAGCCACAGCCAGCAAGCGTCCCAGGTCACAGGGGCTCCCCCTCAGGCACCGGCTTGCATGCCCCCTGAGACGCGGAGCTCACCCTCTGTGCACAGGCCTCACGCTATGGCAGCCGGGCATCCAAGCGGCAGGGCCCCGCCGCACAAAGGAGCCGGGCCGCCACGCGCTGGCTCTGGGCTGGCCGGCCGTGGCTTCTGCTCCGAGTGGACACAGAGAAGCCAGCCTGTCTGCCTGCTAGGGGCTGCTCCGGGGAGAACACCTTCCTTCCTCCTTGTGGGCCTTGTCAGGGCAAGCCTCGGGCCTGGCGGCCAGGTGGGTGGGGTTGCCTCCCCTCTCTGGTGTCCGCGTTTCCGGCTGTCTGTCCCTGCGGCCGCAGACAGGGTTTAGAGGGAGAGCAGCTCATGGAGCTGCCTGATAATGGAGGGCCCTGGGTGGTGGTTTTCCTTGCCTACGGACGTCACGGAGGTTGAAAGTGGGAAACTGGGAAACAGCGACGCCGTGACCCCAGCAGGGCCGGCGCCCCAGAAGCAGCCCGAGCGGACAGGCTCCGGGGGCCCCGCCCCCCGCGGGCACCACAGCCCCGACGCAGCCTCAGGTGCCTCCTCCGTGAGCTGAGGACCGCGCCCCCCTTGCCTGCACCCCCGCGAGCGTGAGGACCGCGACCGGGAAGTTCCGGGAGTTGCTGTCTTGCAGAAGGGGAGGGGACATTCCCGGGAGAGAATAGGCAGGCCAGCCTGGCTCCTCCTGTCCAAGGCACGTGACCCGGGCAAGCCTCAGTTTCCCTGTCTTAAGAGGGGTCGTCTCTCTCTTCTCCATGAGGGTGGTGGTGGTGGTATGAAGGGGGGCATTGAAAAGAACGATAGTCCTGAACGATAGTCCCCGCGGGGGCCGGGACCCTGGGTGGGCGTCGTCCCCTGTTGCGGTGGCGGGCGGCTGAGACGACAGGGAGGCGGTGCGACCGGGCCCTGGTGGGCGTGGCGAGCCTAGACCCCCGAGGGGGCGGGGCCGAAGGCTGGAGGGGGAGGCGGGGCTTCGTCGAGGCCGGGGCCAATGCACCGCCTGAGGGGGCGGGGCCGAGGGCTGGAGGGGCGTGTCTGGGCGGGGCTGGCCGAGGCCGCAGCCAGTGCGCCGCCTGGGGGGCGGGGCCGGGAGGGGGCGGTGTCGGGCAGGCGGACTCGCGCCCACTCCTGCCGGCTGCTCTCCAGCCGGCAGCACCGCCGCGGTCCGTCTTCGGGCTCGGGCTCCCCGTGCCCAGGGGGCGCTGTCCGCATGGCCGCCATCAAGGCGCTGCAGCAATGGTGCCGGCAGCAGTGCGAGGGATACCGGGACGTGAGCATCACCAACATGACCACGTCGTTCCGCGACGGCCTGGCCTTCTGCGCCATCCTGCACCGCCATCGGCCCGACCTCATGTGAGTGCCCCGCGCGGCCCGCACGCGACCCCGCGGGAGCTCGTTGGGTCCTGGACGCGGCCCCGTAACCTCAGTTTGCCAGTCCGCCAAGTGGAGCTGGGCGGGAGCCAGGACATCCGGCGCCCCCGCTGAGTCAGGCGGTGACTCAGGCCCGCGTCCCGGGAACTTCGCCGCAGCCGCCCCTCCGGCGCCGTCTCCCCGGGGCCTGTCCACCGGCACAGGGGCGGGGGCACAGGGGGCTTCGTGTGTGGGTCTGCCCCAGCCCCCGCTCGCCCGGGACCCTTAGGACTGCGGCTCGGGGCGCTGAGGGGGCGGGGCCAGCGCGGAGCAGGAAGCCCGGGACCCCCGCGCCGGGTCTGGCCGGGCACCGTCGGGTGACAGGGGTGAGGTGGGGGCAGCCCCCAGCCCTTGGAGCCACGGGAGGCGGGCCGGCCCCTGCTTGTCGCCAGACCTTGCCTGCGCTCTGGATCCGCTCCGTCCGTTACTCACTCAGCAAACGCTCTTCGCCTGGGACAGGGCCTGGCTTGCTGAGACAGAGCTCCGTGCAGGCAGCCCTGGACCACGGGTGCGCCGCGCGGGTCCCTCTGGAAGTACACGGCGTTTCAAGTGTGCCGCCCAGGTGGGCGGAGCGCCCGCGGGGAGGCCTGGGGCGGGAGAGCCCCCGCACAGAGGCTGCCCTCGGGCCTCATTCGCTGCTGTGGACTAGGGAACAGGCCCAGGGAGCCCAGGGTGCGCCAGGCAGGGTTGGGACTGACAGCTGGGTCCCCCCTCGCCCTGCACCCCAACGTGTGCTGCACCCCCAGGGACTGTCCCTGAGCAGCGCTCTCTGTGGAAGCTGGTTTTGAGGAAGGTCTGCAGGCAGCCCCCTCCCCCCAGGCTCTGAGGTGCGTCGGTGGAGCCTCATGGGAAGCCTGGGTAGCACCCAGCCGCAGCCTCTGCTCCCAGCCCGGGGAGGTGCCCAGTTCCCTTGGCGGCAGAAAATGGGGGGCAGGATGTGCCTTCACACGGAACACGCGAAGCTGAGCTCTGACGGGGTGGGGGGGGGGCTGGGAGGCTGAGCCACACCGGGGTCCATGCAGGGCCCCCTCGTGCCTGGGGGCTGAGCCGGGCAGCCTGGATGAGGCCGGCGTGAGGAGTCTGCGCCTGGAGAGGAAGATGCTGCTGTTGTCCGCGGGCTCCGCGGGCTCCGGACGGCAGCGTGGGTGTGACGGAAGACTCGGGCCCCTTGCCCCTGAGCCCCGGGAGCGTCCCTCTGCCCCCGGCCGTGCTGGCGCTGGAGGCCCTGTGTCCGTGTGTGCGTGTGCGTGCCCATCCCAGTGCCCGCTGCCCGGGGGCGAGCACAGGCGCGCAGGCGTGGGCGTGCCCCTGAGCCGGCACAGGCAGGCGCCGCACAGCCGTTCACCTGGCCACTCCTGAGCGCCCGAGGCGTGCCCTGCGCCGCGCACCGTCCCCGATGGCCTTGGACCCTTCCCAGGAAGCGACGTTTTAGTCCCAGAGACCCACAGCGAACGACGAAGGCTCAAGGCGGCCGCAGAGAGCGGCGCGGCTGGGGCTGGGAGGAAGGCGGGCGGCCCGCCTGACCCCGGTGGCCCCTGGCGTCGAGTTATCTCACTGCTGATTTGGCTGCTGTCCATCTGCCCCCTGGACTCTCAGCTCCTGAAGGGTGGGGGTGTCCCCGGTGCCTGGAACCGCGGCCGGCCCATGACGGGGGCTCAGTGGCTGCCAGCGCACAGCCGGAGGGCCCCCGAAAAGGGCTTGCCCTCGGGGCTCAGGGAGACACTGCTGGCACTCGGCCTGGTGGTGGCCGGAGCGCAGGGACTGTGCAGGTGCAAGTGAGGAGGGAGGCCATGTGACCACAGTGTTGCAACCACAGGCTTAGGACCTCCTGGAGCCACCTGATGCTGGGCAGGCCCGGAACAGAGCCTGCCCCAGAGCCTGGGCATGGGGTGCGCCCTGCGACTTGGTCAGATGCCCGGCCTCCTGAACGGGTGGCGGGGGAGGGGGGAAACGAACGCGTGTGGTTTTCAGCTGCCCAGCGTGGGGTCATCACTATGGCAGCCGAGGAAGCAGGGCAGGTCCCACACGTACAGGGCGGGGCAGGGCTCCGCACACACTGCCCCGGGGGGCAGGTGACGTGGAGGGGGTGCGAGCGTGTGGGTAGGCGCGCACGGGTCCTGTGCCCGAGCCCTGTCTGGCGCCCCGCCTGTGCCTTAAACGCCCCTCCCCCGCTCTGGACCCCGCAGTGCCTCTGGAGGCTGGGAAGGGCCGTCTCCCTGCGGAGCTGTGAGCTGCTGTGGCCCCCAGAGGCACGGGGAGAGAAGGGTGCTGTGAGGGGCGGCAGGGCGAGGCCACCCCCCGCTGCCGTCCGGTGAAGACCCCCGGGCAGCAGGAGGGTGGACATCCTGTCTCCGTGTCCCCTTCCCTTCATCTCATTTTGGTCCTTCCTGCTACATGGGAGCCTGTTTCCTCTTGGCCCTCGGAGGAGGGAGCTCAGCTGGGAGGAGCCGCTGGGCGCGGGCCAGCCAGGTGCAGGCCGCTGCTCGAGGCGGTGGCGGCGGCTCTGCCCGCCCAGCCCCGGCAGTTCCCATGTGGCCCAGCCCAGGGGGCGGTGCAGGCTCCTCAGGGACCCCGGCACCGGGCGACTCAGCTGCTGGGAGGCGGGCCCTGTCAGTTCCCTGCGGGTAGGCCTCAGGGCGCCTGTGGGGCCAGGTGAGCACAGCGCCCTACACACACCGCCCAGGGCGGTAAACCTGCCCGGCTGGCGCGGCTGCTTCTGCGCCTTCGCTCTGCGGCCTGACCAGGAGGCGCTGGGGTGCCCAGGGCAGAGGCGGGAGGCGGGGCCGGTGCCAGCGCGCTGCCCGGGCAGGAGCCCTTCCCAGCAGCGGGCTGCGTGTCCCAGGGCCGGCTGAGGAGGGGCCGTCCAGGCGGGGCCCTTTGCAGCAGCTGTGGACAGCTGGCCCCCGAGGGGTGTCAGGAAGCGGCTGAGCTTCCCGAGCCTCACTGCTCCCGACGGGGGAGGGTGGCAGGGCCCAGGGCCAGCATCAGGGTGGCTCCCCGACCCCTACTCCAGACACGCCCGCTGCAGGGGGTCGGGGAGACTCCCCTCCGGGGCTCCCACCCAGAAGCTCAGAGGCAGCTCTGTCTCCCTCCCTGGGCGAGGCCCACGGCCCCTCCTGCGTGAGGTCAGCAGGAAGCTGCCAGGGGACAGAGGCCTTCTGTTCCTCTGTCTAAGGGTCAGCTGCCCAGCCTTCCGGCCACAACGTCCAAGACGGACGCGGGAGGGGTGCAGGCCCCCTCCTCGGGGACGGCCCCGGGGCCACCGACCCCCTAGCCAGAAGCAGCCCTGGGCCGATTCCTGCTGGCTGTACCTGGGGAGGCATCTCACTTGCCTGCCAGGCACAAGAAGGTGGGGGCCTGGGAGCCGGCCCTGCCTGGAGCCTCTGGCACCTCTTCTGCCCTGAGGGCTGTCCCAGCAGGTCTGCCTTGGGGTCTCTTTCCCTTGAACCCTGTCTCTCCCCCTTGCTCTGCGGCCTCCCCCTTCCCCTCCCCCTCCCCTCTGCTCCCCTTCATGGCCCGATTAACTCCAGATGCGGGAGGAGGTGCTCGGCGAGTCACTTTCCCTCCTGCCTGCCCCCCCCCCCGCCCCGTCCAGCACCCCCCCCAGGGCTGCATTTTGTTCCAGGAAATAAACAGCATGAGGTCAGCTCTGCAGGAATTTGGAGGGGCACGCTCCTTCTGGAGCCCCCAGGCGCTGGGGGCAGGGGGTTCCACAGCCCGAGGTCAACAGCCCTGGTCCGCTGTGGCCGGCCGGGGAGGCAGGGGTGGGGGGCAGGACTGGGCAAGAGGTGTGAGCCATTGGGAGCCACATTTCAGGACACGCGGGCTGGCGGGCCGCGCCCCCGCTCGCAGGCGGTGGAAGAGCGAGCGCGCGGCGGCCGAAAACCGGCCCAGCGAGCATTGGTGGAGCGCCGGCTGTGGGGGTCCTCGGAGGGCCAGCCCCCCGAGGGCCAGCCAAGCCGGGGTCTGTCCCCCAGGCCCGCGGACGGGCGCTTTCTCAGCAGCTGTGGATCAGCCCTGGCCAGGTCCTCCTGGGGCCTCTGGGGCGCCCAGGCGGCCGCTTTCCCTCCTTGCCCGTTTCTGCGCCCCAATTTCCCTTTTGATAAAGACAATCATTTTGGATCAGGGCCCACCCTGGTGACCTCATTTTAAGTTGATTCTCTCTGTAAAGACCGTTTCCAAATCAGGTTATGCTCTGAGGTCCCGGGGTGAGGACACCAACCGTTCTCCGGCGGGGGGAGGAACGCGGCCCAGCCCGTCCCACAAGGGGGTCCCCGGCTGGCAGAGAGCCGGCCAGGTCCGGCTTCCTGAGGCTGGGCGGGGTCTCTCCTTGGCGCGCTCTGAAAGGATCGGCAGGGCCGCCCTGGCTCCGGGGACTTCCGCAGCCCAGGACCTCATGCTGTGAGGGACATGCACTCCGGCGGGGCCAGCCAAAGGCCGAGAAGTGTCCACTCTGGGCGACATGGGGAGCCTGGTCCGGGAGAGGCTGGCCGGGGCGCTTGGGCCTGGCATGGAGGCCTTGTGTGCCCAGAAAGCCAGGGACCTTGGACTGGGTCCTGAGGGACCAGGGTCCTTGAACTTCAGCAGAAGAGCAACTCTGCAACCCCTGACCTGCTCGCCTCTGACCCTGCCCAGCAAGGACTGGCACACTGCTTCGTGGGTGTCCCGATGGCTGGAGCTCTGAGGACCCTACTCTGGGTCCGGGGTGGAGGAGAGGGCCCCACAGGACAGCTGGCAGCCCCGAATCCACAGGCTGCAGCCCCCAGGTGGACCGAGGCCGATGCAGGGGGTGGGGGGCCTCCTCCCATTTATTTGGAGACAAAACAGAGCTTGTTTTCCTGCCCTTCTGCCGGCAACCCCGGGCAGGTCTGCGGGAGACTGAGCTTTCCGAGGGACACCGAGGGCAGCGTGGCTGAGACCCCACACTCCACGGCCGTGGGCGTTCCTGGGATGAAGCCAGGGCGGGCAGCGGGCATGGGGCTGCGGGGATAAAGGCTGGCACGCCCTCGGCACTCCTTCTGGCTGTTTGTCGGCCCAGAGGCGAGTCTGCCCGCTGCCTCGTCCCGCGCAGAAGCGCGCCCCGTGCTCGAGGTGGCAGGGGGTGGCCCCAGCATCTGGAACGCGTCACCTGGGAGGTGGTCCGAGAGCGGAAGCGGGGAGGCTTCCGGAAGAGCCGGGCAGGGTGATGGACGGACAGCAGCAGGGCCTCTGAAGGGGGAGGGGGGCGAGCAGCCCCAGCGCCCCCCCGGCCCCCGTGGGCTGGCCTCATGCCCTCGCCTGGGTGACGGGCCCCCCGGCCTTGCGATGGGGCCCCGGGGCTGCTGGCCGCAGGGTCTCCGCGGCCCCTGACTCAGGCCTGCTCGGCCTTCAGCCAGGGCCCTCGCTTCACCACCAGGAGCTTCGGTTGTCTTCTTGCCCGGGGCACGGGGGTCCCGGGAGAAGGGAGGGCATGCCCGGGGTCAGCAGTGCGGTCTCCGGAGTCAGACGTGCTCTCTCCCACGCTGCGAGGCTTCCAGAACCATCCAGCTCAGGCTGCAGCTGCGAGGATGCTGCCCGTGCCCCACAGGCAGCCACACGGACACACAGGCACGGACGAGAGTGTTTAACCAGCCTCCCGGGACCGCCTGTGCCTCCTGCTCGGAGCGCCCTCTGGGCACGCGAGGGGCGGCGGCACCCGGGCAGGCTCGCACGGTGGCCCCGGGGGGCCTGCAGTGGCTCCAGGACCGGACCTCTGTGTCTGGGACGTCCTGTGCCCTGCGGTCAAGTGTGTGGGGGCGGGGGCTCTGGTATCCTCAGTCCTGAGGATGAGGGCCTGCCCCGCGGTCCCTCGGAGCGGGCTGGGCGCCAGGTGGGCGCTCAATCAATGCCACAGCCCAAGCAGTCGAACCTCCAAGGCCTGGATGCTGGACCATGGCCTGGCTTTGGTCTTCTCTGCTGCGTGACCTTGGGCAGGTCGTGGAGTCTCTCTGTGTCTCAGTTTCCTCGCCGTGAGAGGCGGGCGCTGAGAGTGTGTAGGGGCCTGAGCGCCCAGTGAGTGGGGACCACGGAGGTGCTGGGGCATCGGGTGGGTGACGGGGCTGGTGTGGAGCTCTGTCCCCCGCATGTCGCGCCCCTGCGCTCCGAGCGCCGTGTCCCTCTGTGCTCTGTCCCGGGGCCTGGCGCAGGGGCCTCCCGTGCATTGTTTGTGGGCAGCCTCTGAGCGGGGCCACGGCAGGGCCGGGCCGTGGCTGCGAGGCCCTCCACGCCCAGGCCCCTGGTGCGGCCAGCCCTGCCCTCCCGCGGCTGTGGTGGCCTCCTCCTGTCCCAGGAAAACCGCGCGCCTGGCGCGGTTTCCCCATTTGGGCCGAATGACCTCTGAGACCCTTCCAGCACCCCGCCCCCGCCCCAGGGTCTGGGCTGCTTAGCAACTTGTTTTTTCATGTTCTAGAGACTTTGACGCTCTCAGGAAGGAAAACGTCTATGAGAACAACAAGTTGGTGAGTCCCTGTTCCTGCCTCTGAGCCCATGGGCCCCAGAGAGTCGTGGAGGGAGGTGGGCCTCTCGCTGGGCACCGTGGCCACCCAAGCCTATGGACCCCGCTCCCAGAACCAGCCTCGGACCTGTAGCCCGGCCCGCCCGGTCCCCGTCTTCTTGGATCGGGAAGTGGCTGGGCCCTCCTTCCCCTCATCCACGGGAGGCAGCCTGGGAGGGCAGCGCCCCCGGGCGGGCCTGCGTGGGCCGTCGGCCTCTCCTCACTGGGGGTGGGGAGCCTGCTCAGCCCTGGCCGCAGAGCCCTGCACACGCGGCTGCCAGCCGGCGGTGGGCCCTGCCCGGGCCAGCCGGGCCGGCTCCTCGCTGCGGGGGAGGCTCCGCGTCCCCGTGGGCTAATGAGAGAAGGCAGAGTCCACCCCTCGCTGTCCCTGAGCCCCGTGCGCCTGCCGGCGCCTGATCTGGGGCCCTGGCCCCCGAGCTCCTTCGGTGCCGCGCAGCTGGGCTGCGATCGCCTCCCCCGCCCCACCCGCCCCGTGTGCCTGAGGAGGCGGCAGCCCGGGGAGGTCACAGGGCCGAGGTGAGCTGGAGCCTCGAACACAGACTCCTCTGGGCTCCTAGTGGGGCTGTTGCCTCTGGCCCCCCCCGGGTCGGCTGGCAACCCGGTTGAGGAGAGGGTGGCCTCTCCCTGCCCGCTCCCCGATGACCGTCCCCTCCCCAAGGCCTTCCGCGTGGCAGAGGAGCAGCTGGGCATCCCGGCCCTGCTGGACGCCGAGGACATGGTGGCCCTGAAGGTGCCGGACCGGCTGAGCATCCTGACCTACGTGTCCCAGTACTACAACTATTTCCACGGACGCTCCCCCAGTGAGTGGCGCTTCCGCGCTGCCCCGCCGGCCCCGCCCCCAGCTCGGCCTGGGGGGAGTGTGCAGTGCCCTGTCTGCTGCTTCCTCCTGGAGGCCAGGGCCCGCCCCCCGTGGCCCCCCGTCCACTGGACAGACGCGCCAGCTCCTGCCCCTGCTGCTTCTCCCTGGGCCTCGGTTTCCCTGCCCAGGGCCCTGGGGGTCTGCCCGCTGGTCCTGCCTCAGGACCCCCGAGGGCTTCCAGGCCCGGTCCCGATGTTGCCCTATTTGGTCCTGACGTTCAACCCAGAGCTGGGGCCCAGCCCAGTGGGCAGGGACAGGCAGGCAGAGGCTCTGTCCAGCCTCGTTCTCAGGCTCTCTCCCCGCATTCCTCGCCCAGGCCATAGAAATCCCCGGAATTGCTCTGGGCTCGGGTCCAGCCCCGCCTTCCTATTCCCATTTTGTGGAGAAACAGAAAAGTCCCTTTTTCCTGACCCCCAGATCAGGGTCTCGGAGGGAGAGGCGCGAGGGCGGAGGTGAGGCTGGGCCACGCGGGGGCCGGTGTTGGCAGCCGGCTGGGCTCCCGCCGCCCCCACTTCGGGCCCCGCGGGATACTGCGGCGGGGGTGGCCCAGGCACTGAGAGGCCCAGCCTGCACGACCCCCCAGGCCTCCGCCTCCCCTGACCTGTGTCTCCTGCCAGTCGGGGGCCTGGCCGGCGTGAAGAGGTCCCAGTCCGAATCTGACGAGGAACCTTCCGGGAAGAAGGCCCCGCCCCAGCCGGCCAGGCCCTCGCCCGCCCCCGCCCGGGGGCAGCCGCTGTCTCCGATCAGCACCAACGCCGTTGGCCAGCGGAAGGACGGGGGTGTGGAGGGCGCCCTGCTGAAGGCCGTAAGCGCGCCAGCCCCGCCCTCCCCCAGTTCTTGGTCTCCACCGGCTCTTGCCACGCAGGGCTGGGCTGGCCCCGAACCCCAGCGCCGGGTGGTGTGGGGCCCCCTTGGGTCCCCGCGCAGCCTCGGCGGATGTCCCCGGAAGCCCGCGGGGACCAGCTCCCAGGCTCCTTCGGGGACCAGCTCCCAGGCTCCTTCAGCCCTGCAGGGTCGGGTGCAACCCTGTCGTGCGCACGGGGAGGCAGAGGCCTGGGAGGTCATGCAGGCTGGGCTCCGAGGGGGTTTCCCAACTCTGCTGCGCCCCTCCCGCAGGGCAGGAAAGAAAGCGGGGTGCGTCCTTCCCTCCGAGGCCAGCCCGGCAGGGCAGCGGTGTCCCCCTCCGCCGAGGTGGAGACTGGCAGGGGCGGCACCTTGTGCTGGGGTGCCCCCTGCTGTCCGTGGGCTGTCACTCCAGGCTCAGGGACCTGGGGCAGCCCTTGGCCTGCCCTCCGCAGTTGATTGGGTTTCTGTGCCCTGGGGTGGGAACTTGGGGTGAGAAACCCTGGCCCCTGGAGACCCCCAAAGCCAGGCCTTCTGCCCCATCCCCTTGGGCCAGCTGGAGGTCTGAACTTGGAGTCCAGCTGGCCTGTGCATGAGCCCCGGCTGGCCCCAGGGCCTCGGTCCTCTCGTCTGCCAAGTGGGACCTTCTCTCCCGCCGGCGGGAGGTGGCGGGGGCGGAGCTCGGCTGCGAGGAGGGCGGGCCCCGAGGGGAGCTCGGAGCCATCAGCTGCCGCCCCTCCCAAGGGCCAGGCCTCCGCGGGCAGCGCCGTCAGCAGCACCTGCGGGGTCTGTGGCCAGCACGTGCACCTGCTGCAGCGGCACCTGGCTGGCGGGAAGCTGTACCACCGGAGCTGCTTCAGGTAGGGCTGTGTGCGCGCATGCGGCCCGGGACGTATGTGTGCTTCGGGGTGTCCGCGCCCCCAACCGGCCTTCGGTGGGGTCTGAGACTCAGTGGTCAGCAGCCCGAGAGAGGCGCCCGCCGAGGGGCCGGGCGCGGGCGCAGGCACAGCCAGGGCGCTCGCCTGGGTCGCGCGATGCCAGCGGCCCCGCTTCCTCTGCCCCTCCCCCCAGGTGCAAGCAGTGCTCCAACACGCTGCGCCCCGGCGCCTACAGGACCACGGCGGAGCCCGGTGTCTTCATCTGTTCCAGCCACCACCCCACCACCGCAGCGGCCAGCCCCGTGTTGCCCGGCCGGGCCCCCGGACGGCCAGGGGCCGCCGCCCCGGACTCCAGGCTCCCCAGTGCCCCACAGAAGGCCCGGGAGGCACAGAGGCAGGGAGAGGCGGGGCCAGGGGCCGGGCCCGCAGCCCGGGAGCTCGTGGCGGGCAGCTCCACGGCCAAGGGCTCCTCTCCTGCTGCCGCGCAGCCCCCGGCCACCACCCCCTCCCACGTGCTCTTGGGGAGCCCCGCCAGGCCCTGGCTCTCTGCAGGCCCTGTGGGTGGCAAAGCCAGCATGCGTGTGACCAACAGCTCCCCCACAGGCTGGTCGTCGCCAGCACAAGACACGGTGGCCATCAGCCCCCGTCCGGCTGTGACTCCGAGTGCCCCGGGCCCTTGTCTGGCCACAGAAAGCTGGTCCGCCCCCCAGACCAAGCTCAGTCCGGGCCCAGCATCTGCAGGTCCAGTGGGTGCCCCGGCCTGGACCCCGTCGGCCTCCAAGACGCAGCAGGCCAGGGAGAGGTTCCTGCAGGCGGCTGGAGCCACGCCCAGCCCTGGGCCGGCGAGCAGGGCCCCAGCGGCGGCAGCCGCGCCCACCGGGGTCAGCCACAGGGAGCAGGCGCTGAGCTGCCTCCGCAGGGCCCTTCCGAGGCTCGAGGGGGCTGGCGCTCAGGCGCCCGGCAGGTGCGTGAGGGACGAGGACTGGGGCACCCTTGCCCACCCACAGGGGGCCCCGGAGGCCAGAGGGGTTGGGATGCCCTGCCTGGGCGCGTGACGGTGGGGCTGCTCCCTCCAGACTCAGTTCTCCTGTCTGGGAAGCAGGGAGAGTGAGGCAGGGCCTCGGGGCGCTGGGTTGCAGCCGAGGGAGACACAGTCCCTGCTGCAAAGCTGCTGTGTACGCGCTTCGGGGGGAGGTGCAGGCTCAACAGCCTGCCACCCAGGGTCCCGAGTAGCTTGCGCCCAGGCCTCTGAGGACACCTGCTCCACACGCGGGGAAGCAGAGGCTGGAGCGGTTGGGGCGCCCCTGTCTGCCCGGAGAGGGGCTCCAGGCCGGCCCTGCCCGGCCCGTGCCTTGTGCACGCGGGACACGGAGCGGGGGCGCTGTCGCCGGGTGGGGGTCTCGTCGGTGTCCGGGAGCTGCCGGGGGGGGGCGCTGACCCCACAGGCGCTGGTTTGCTCGCAGCTCCGGAGCCCAGTGCGAGGTGGAGGTGCCGCAGGGCCACTCCCGCCCCCGGCTCCAGGGGGGGGCCCCACCTGCTCCCCCAGCCTCCGGGGCCACGGGCGACCGGGGCTCGTGGCCACGTCCTCTCTGTGCCTCTGTCGTCGCGTGTCCGTCTCTCCTCTGTGTGTCTGTGAGTCTCCTCTTCTGTCTCTTGACGTGTAAGCACGCTTCTCCTTGGACTCGGGGCCCTAACCAGAATCCGGGATGACCCCACCCTAACTCGATTACTCGGGCGAAGAGCCTGTTCCCAGACAGGGCCACACTCTGAGCCGCCAGGCGGCACGGCCGTGGCGGGACCCCGTGCCCTCCCTGTGGCCACCGGGCGAGAACAGCGGTGCCGCACCGGCCTGGCCCGCTGCCTCGTGTGCCCCGCCTGCTCAGGACCGCCCGACCCCCATGGGCGCACCGCTGCTGCCCGGGGCTCCCGGGGTGGCCGTGGGGCCAGGAGAGGGGGTGTGGCGGGCTCGGGCTGGCCCGCGGCTCTGCGCTGGCAGAGGAAGGAGCGACTGGGCTGTGGGCCCCCCCCCGCACACCCCACACCTGGCGTGTTTGGGGGCGTTTTAATCTCGTTCCACATCAGAGGTAAACAGGGAGGCAAAGTCAGGCACCGACATGCACCCGTGAGAGTGGCTGCGGCCTGCCCCTCCTCCCTCAGAGGGGCTGTCTGCCTCCCTCCGGGGCGCGCACTGGGGACCAGCTGCCGAGGGAGGCCGAGGGGCTCCTGTCGGGGGGTCATGGTGGGAGGGGCTCCCGGGCCCGCCCGTGCCTGACGCCCACTCTCGCACCTGCAGTTGTGCCCCGGCTGCCTCCCCGGCTCCGAGCAGCCTCCCCAGAGCTGAAGGGCCACGCACAAGGCTCCCCGCCGAACTGCCACCGGCGGCATCGCCCCAGGCCCTCAGCCCCTCTGCAAGGACGGCGCCGCTGGCCCCACCGAGCCGGGGTGCCATCTCCGGGGCCCCCACGCCGCCCCAGGCTGGCAGGAAGAGCTCCGCTGGGCCCCTAGGGGTCGGCAGGGCAGGGGCTGGCTCCAGGCTCAAGCCAGAGGCCCCGCCGGCAACGGGTGAGGGCCCCCTTGCGTGGGGCGAACGAGGGGTGCGGGGGGCGGCCCACCCGCGCCGACAGCCGGCGTCCCCAGGGCTCGCCTGTTCGGCGGCAGGGAAGCCGAGGCGCAGAGAGGCAGTGAACCTCCCCAGGCACACGCGGCGCAGGCGGCCAGGCCGGTGTCCCTCCCGTGCCCGCCTCCTGGCCAGGGCTCCTTCCCATAACCTCGGCTGTGGGGGGCACCTGACGGCGGGCCGGCCGGGGGAAGGTGGGGTGGGGTCCAGCTCTTCCCGGCAGACCCTCCCCTTATCCAGAGCCCAACGTGGCCCGTCTCCCTGCCCTCCGCCCAGGCCCACGTGCCAGCCCCCAGGAAGGCCAGGAGGACGGGCCGGAAGGGTGGAGGGACCGCCTGAAGCCCGTGGAGAGGAGGAGCCCTCCGGAGAGGTGAGGCGCGGAGGCGGGGGGGCCCCGGGGGCGCGCGCCCAGGACCTGCCCCGTGCCTGTGGAGCGGTGCCTGTGTCCCAGGGCTGTGCAGGGCCCAGCACACAGTAGGCGCTCAACAAATGCTCATGGGTGAAAGGCAGCACGTGGGTTGGCCGGTCGACGTCCCCGCAAGCTGGGGCGTGAGCACATCCCAGCACGGCCACTGAGGCCGCAGAAGCCAGCTCACAGGGGACAGTCACACGAGCCGAGTCAAGGGCCGGTTCACGTAGCCTGAGCGATAAGGGGGACTTCACACCGGCCTGAGCGACGGGACAGCTCACACCGGCTGGACTTGGGCGGGCTTGTCTGTGCTGAGGGACTGCGGGTCACCTGCCTTCCGTCCAGGACCCTGGAGCTGGCGCCGCCGCGGGAGCCAAGGGCGGGGGCTGTGCCCCAGAAGGCCCCTGGGAGTTCCGAGGGGGGTGTCCGCATCATCCTGACCCGCGTGCAGCTGGACAGGTCGCCAGGCCCTGCCGGCCCCCAGCCCCGCCTCTCAGGTAACTCCCAGCGGGAAGTCAGGGGCCCGGTGCCCTCCCGCCCCCGCCCCCGCTCCAGCCAGGGGACGCGGGTCTAGGTGTGACCCCTGCAGGGGTGGCTGTTTGGGGGCCCGTGGGGCCACCCTCCCAGGGAGAGCCAGGAGGGGCGGCGGCCCTGGTCGGTCTGAGGAGCTGGTGGTCCTGGGCGGGCAGAAGGTGCGTGTGTGTTGTGTGTGCATGCGTGTGTTCGGATGCGTGCTCACGCATGTGGCAGCAAGTCTTCCCAGCCCTCAGCCGCTCCGGCACCCACATCTAGCCGTCCACTTCCTGTGTGACCTTGAGCAGGTCGCCTGCCCATGGGGCTGGAGCCAGGATGCTGCCCTGGCTGGGTGGACGGGGCACAGGGAGGCCGCGCCGCCCCCTTCGTGGGCCCGGCTCAGGGAGAACACAGGGAGGTGGCCTGGCCTGCTACCTGACGCGTAGTCTGTCTCCCGCCGCGGCAGCTGCGTCCCCTTCCCCAGCGCCCTCCCCGGCCCACCGCAAGAAGCTGACCGTCCCTGCCACCCTGGACGTTGCTGATGACTGGCTTCAGCCCACACCCTTGCGGCAGGAAGCCCCGGCCCGGAGTGGGAAGGAGGGGGAGGAGCCCTCTCCCGAGGACCGGCCAGGTCAGCCCAGAGACACCGCCCCCGCTCCTGTCGGGGTGCAGGTGGAGGGCGCCCTCTGGGGAGGGGCGCCTGGTGGGGCCCTGAAGGGTGAGGAGAAGCTCGCTGGGCCCGGGGCGAGGGGAGGCACGCGGCCCGTGCCTCCCAGCAGAGAGCCAGAGCAGTGCGGTCCCGGCAGGGGCTGGCGGGGCGGCCGACCTGGGGCCGGGCAGGGGCCAGGCTGCCCACGGGGACGGCACCGGGACCTGCCTGTGAGCTCTGCCCAGGGGCCAGCTGGCAGGGGCAGGGGACGTGGGGCGGAGCTGGGGGAGCCCAGCCCTCGGGGTCAGACCCCCTTCCAGGGCAGTTGGAGGCGCCTCGGGCCTGGCGGCCCTGGCCCCGGACACTCACGCCGCCTCTCCTCCAGGGAGGCCCCGGGGCCCCGCCGATGCCCCTGCTCCTCCTGGCAAGGCAGCGGACCCCGCCGTGAGGGTGAGTAGGCGGCGGTGGGCGAGGGCTGGGAGCTCAGCCCCGGGGCTCGGGCCGCCCTGACTGGCCCTCTGCTCGCAGCTGCACCCCGACTATGTGCCACAGGAGGAGATCCAGCGGCAGGTGCAGCAGATCCAGCGGCAGCTGGACGCCCTGGAGCTCCGGGGCGTGGACCTGGAGCGGCGCCTGCGGGAGGCTGAGGGGGGTGAGCCACGCCCCCGCCCCCTGCCCCCCACCCTGACCCCGGGCTGCCCGCAGGGCTCTGCCCGGCCCACACCCAGCCTGGCCCCTCTCCGCAGACGCCTCGGAGGACATGCTCATGGTGGACTGGTTCCGGCTGGTCCACGAGAAGCAGCTGCTGCTGCGGCTGGAGTCGGAGCTGATGTACAAGTGAGAAGCCGCCGCGGCCCTGAGGGCCCCACCGCCCCCGCGGCCGCGCCGGCGAGGCCGCCTCACCCTGTCACCCCGGCAGGTCCCGGGAGCAGCACCTGGAGGAGCAGCAGCTGGACATCGAGGGGGAGCTGCGCCAACTGATGGACATGCCGGGTGCGTCCCCGCCCTCCTGCCGGGAGCGGCCGCCCATGGGAGGGGCCGCGGGTCCTGGTGCTTGGGGTGCACGTCTCGGGAGCCTGCGGCCGAGTCTCAGCGCCCGCGCCTCCGGGCTGTGCGTCTCTGGCCGAGTTGCTCACCCTCTCTGTGCCTGGGCTTCACCCCCAGCAGAGGGGCCACTAACAAGCTCCCAGGGCTGAGCCGTGAATCCTGAATCCGCACGGGGCAGGAAGCAATTGCTGTTAGGGGTGGCGGCAGCGTCGTGCACCAGGGGGTCTGTCCTGGGCCCCAGCCCCCGCCTCTCGGTGCCGGGCAGACCTGTGAGGACGCGCGGGCAGGCGGCCCCGGCCCTGCCCACGAGCCCCGCCCCCCCTGTGGGGGAGCCTGACCCCTGAGGCGCGGCGTGACTGCGTGCAGAGCTGGGTGGGACCGCGGGGCTCCGGCCGACGGCAGGCTGTCGCTGCAGAGGGCCTGAAGTCGCCCCAGGACCGGCAGCGGGAGCAGGACCTGCTGACTCAGTACGTGAGCACTGTGAACGACCGCAGCGACATCGTCGACTGCCTGGACGAGGACCGGCTCAGGTGAGGGCGGGGCCCGGGTGAGGGTGGGGGGCACAGGCCCGCCCCACGCGCACAGCCCCGCCCCACGCGCACAGCCCCTGGTGCCCCGGCCCTGACGCCTGGTCAGCACGGCCGCCGGAACCTTCCGCCGCGGAGGACGCGCCCCCTGACCGAGCTGTTGGCGGGGGGCCGCAGGCGCCGCGGCTGCCAAGCAGTGCAGCGGGGGACGGGATTGTGTTTCTCTTAAATCATGTGACCACGTGTGCCTCCTGGTGCTGCACTGGGCCACCAGCCCAGTCCCCACAGAGCTCTCCTGTCTGCACGTCCAGACACGGCATCTGGCTGGGCCAGGCCCCGCAGGTGGCCAGCGGCCGGGACGGAGACTCGAATGTGCCCCTCTGAGCTGGAGGGGCCCGTGGCCGGGGCTGCCCCGCGTCACTGAGGAGGGTCTGGGCCCCGAGCGGGCGGTGCCAAGGCGAGGCTTGTCCGCAGGGGAGAGGGCGGGTGCTGCGCCCTGTGTCGGGCGGGCTCAGGGCTCAGGCGGGAGGCTGACTGGGAGGGCCCGCTCTCCGCCGCCCCCAGCGAGCGGCCCCTCGCAGCCCCTCACGGCCCATTCCCGTTTCAGGGAGCAAGAGGAGGACCAGATGCTCGAGAGCATGATCCAGAAGCTGGGTAACTGGAGGGCTGCACCGCACGGGGCGGGGCCTCCGGCGCGGCCTCCGTGGCCTCAGTGCAGGACAGGCGGGCCCAGCCCGAGGGAGTGGACCCCCATTGCTTGAGGGGTTTGAGAAGCAGCTAGTGAGCCTCTGGTCGGGGCGAGGGGGCGCTTCCCCGGGGTGCCCAGTGTGGGGTGCTCAGAGGCAGGCGCCGCCGGCTCCCCGGGAAGGGGCGGGGTCTGGGCTCCTCCGGGCCAGCGCCTACAAGCTCTGAGGGCCCGCGGGGCATCCCCACAGGGAGCATCGGCCGAGAGGGGGGCGAGTGTCCTCAGAGCCCACCTCCTCCGGGCCTCCAGAGGAGGAAGTCCAAGTTCCGCTTGTCGAAGATCTGGTCCTTGAAGGGCAGAAGCAGGACCCCGGAGTGAGCCTGGCAGCTGTAGGACCCTGGCCCATGGGCCGGGCCGGGGGGCGCCGTGGGGTGGGCCTGGGCCACCCTCTGTGGGGTCTGAGGGGCCTCAATAAAGAAACTGGCGACATGCCCTGGGCTCCATCTCCCACTCGGCCGTGGCTCCTGGGTGGCCTGGGCCACGTTGCGGGCCCGCAGCGGCCAGTGGGTGTGCCCGGGCCGTGGGCAGGGCTGGCCCTGCGGGGCGTCTTTGCCGCAGCTCTGTGCCCTTGGTCCTGGGCCGGAGGCATCGAGCCCGGGCCGCTGGCGGCTGCAGCAAGGCCGTGGGCCGGCCCACCCCACCCCACCCCACCCCTGGAGAGGTCGCAGCTGAGCCCTGTGCTCAGACCCACCCCCGCGCCCAGCGCCCGTCCCCTCGGTGACCCCGGAGAGCGGCATCACCTCGCGCTGTCTCCCCGCTGGCGCCAGGTCGCGGGGGCGGCTGTCCTCCTGTGCTACCCCGCTGCTGTGGAAGCCCGCGCGGTGGTTCTTGTGGGGTCTTGGGGCGGCAGAGCACCAGCGTCCCCCACCAGGTGGCAGGCAGGGCCACCTGTGGGTCCCAGGGGCAATGGGGCCCCAGGGAGGGTCTCGGCTGGAATTCTGGGAATGGAGGTCAGGGGGCGACGTGGGGTGGGGCTGCCTGGCGTGGGGACGAGTCCACCCGCAGCCCTGCTGCTGGGTGGCCTGGCCCAGGGCACTGCCCTCTCTGAGCCTTTGGGGACCGGTGGGATCCACAGGGTCAGGTGGGGGTGTGGGAGCCGCCCTGCTGGTGAGGAGGCCTCCTGCTCACTGTTCGTCACAGCCAGACCCCACTGGAGAGGTCGCGGGGCTGGTGGGGGTGGATGGTTCACCCCAAGTGGGCAGCAGGGCCTGGGCCCTGCGGGGACCGGGCCGGGTGGGGCGGCCGGAGCCAAGGCGGTTCTGAGCAGAGGCCCTGCCGGGCGGCCTGGAGGGCGGCCGGGGCTGGGCCGGGGCTGGGCGGGGGCTGGGCGGGGGCTGGGCGGAGCTGGGCCTGCCGACCCTCCAGCTGAGACCTGCCCCGGTGCAGTGCGGCCTCTTCACCACCAGAGGGAGGCAGAGGGCCGCCCACTGGGGCCCAGAGCGGCTCCATTTCGCTGACGAGGAAACTGAGGCCGGACAGGCCCTGCGGGCGCCCTGACGTCACACAGCCCGCGACCGCCCCCTCGGGCGGACTGCGCCGTGGACTGGGGTGCACGGGGGCTCTGTCCTGCGTGTCGCAGTCACGGCAGCTGGGCCGGCCTGCTCCTGGGGTCGCCCCTCGGCGGCGGGGCCCCCGCGGCCTGCAGGGAGCCATGTGGCCGTGCCTGGTGCCCAGCAAAGGAAGCGCCGCCAGCGGTCAAGCCCCCGGCCCGACGCACGGGCAGGACGGCCGCGTTCTCTGCCTCCCCGGGGCCCCCCAATGCCAGCAGGGGCCTCGCGCAGGCGCCGGTCGCCTGTTGTGCTGGCCGTCCCCATCGGCCCTGAGCCGGACCAGGCTCCCGACGAGGACGACGCCGCGCGGCTGTAGCCCGCGACACTTGACAAAGTGCGGGCGGATGTAATGCAATTGAAACCGCAATATCGCGAACGTCTCATCTCATCACAAATTGAAATTGTATCATATTCCTCTTCTCTTAAATTAAAAAGCTGGAGCCTTGCGCGTGTTCTCCCACGTTTGTGTAAAACTCAATCAGTGATTTTAACACCATGACGCTCCCATGCGGGCCGTTTCTATTCTCATCTATTTACAAGGGAGGACTTTCTGGAACGGGCTGGCTGCGTGGTGAACCTACCCGACCCCGCACGGGCGCCGGGTGGCTGGGGGCGGCCCCGGGCTCCGGGGGACAGGGAGCGCTTTGGTGTCTGAGTGCTGACACGTGGTCGCGGAGGGAAAAGGCAGGAACCGGCCGCAGTGACAGACAAGCTGCAGGGCCAGGGAGGGCGCGGGACAGACCAGCGGCGGCCACAGCCCAGGGAGCCCCCTCGGGGCTGGAAGGGCAGAGGGCGGGCCTCGGGGAGAGCAGCAGGCAGCTGGCGGGGCCCGGAGGACAGGCGTGAGGGCAGTTTTTCTGCGGCGCTTTGAGTCCGGATGCGGTGTGGCCCCTCCCTGCCGGTCAGAGGACGGCGGCTAAGAGGACCGCGTCCTGGGCGGCCGGGCTGCCCACCTGCGGCGCTCATGCCTGCCACGGGGCCGGTGGGAGATGCCGGTGGGGCAGGACCGCCTTCCTCCCGCCTCCGCCGGCGGCCGGCCCCCCGGGCGGCCCTGCGCTTGCGGCCCTACCACTCCGACCGCTGCTTCCACCCTCCCGCGGCTTCTCCCGGGACAAGTCTGTGTCCGGATGCACCTCCCCCACCTGGGCCCCCCGTCAGGACAGTCCCCTCAGCCCTGGATGCAGTCCAAGGACCACATCTCAACCTGATCCTCTGCAAAGACCCTGTTTCACAACCAGGTCCCATCGCGAGGCTCTGGGTGGACCTGGAGTGCGGGGGCACCTTCCAACCCCCCCCAGAGGGGGCAGTGACGCCCTTTGGTTTACACTCTTGGGTTTGCTGACATTTGTAGATGAAAGCGTCCCCGTGACCTGGGCTTTGGCTCCAGCGGCGAGTGGGGTGTGACAAGTGACAGAAGCTAGCCTGTGGCCTTGCGGAGCGGGGTTCGCAGGTACTGGGCAGTGAGGCCCCACCCCCCGGCACACGGCCCTTGCGATGGGCTCACGTGAAATTAGACCCAGCTGCTACCCCGGGGCCTGGGGCCTTCGAGCATGAGGTCATCAAGACCGGGAGAATGGGAGGGAAATGTCGAGACGTCAGTCCTTCCCCTGAAAGCCACAGGGGACTGCTGTGCGGTCTCCCGAGAGACAGCCAGGGTCAAAGGGAGCCCACTTGAAGCCCCACCTCCCACCTGACCACTCTGGAGGCCAGTGGTACCGGGGCCACTGCGCCGTTCGGCTTGGGCGGCCCCTCCTCCAGGCTGCTTAGGCTGAACTTCATGTGGCCGCAGGCCAGGGCCCCAGAGCCACAGTGGCGCGGGACACGCACTGCAGGGAGGAGGGGCAGGGGGGGCAGGGGGGGAGACGGGGCTGGAGCAGCCCTCAGTCGGCTTGTGGGGCCTTAGGCAGCAGCCAGGTAGCTGGCTGCGCGTGCACCCCCCGGAAGCGGGGGGGGGGCCCCAGGGACCCCTGTGTCACATGACCCGTCAGCTGACAACAGGATGACTCAGCCGGCAGCTGTCGGCCCCCTGAAATAATGACAAAAACAATTAGCAATCCAAGCAGTAGCCTTTCCTTAATTATCTCCTCCGAGTTTAATTAACTAGCTAAATTATCAGCAGTAATGTAGGCATTAATTATGTCAAATTACAGTGTAAAACTCACAAAGTGTGGAAAATGTCAATTCAGCTCGGCTCACCTGCCAAGCGGGGGTGGCGAGTGCGGGCGGACCCGGGCGCCGCCAGACCTGGGCGTGGACCCTGCGGGGCAGCCGCCGGGGGCCCCTGGGGCTGGGCCCGGGCAGGGGCCGCGTCCACGGGGCGGGACGGCGGGCAGGTGCAGGGCCGGCGGGCGGGCGGGGCTGCCGGCGGGCGGGGCGGGGCCTGGGCTGGGGCCGAGGAGGGACGGGAGGCTGCTCCCGGACCAGATGGCCAGGATGCTGAATTATTAAATTATGAATATTAATACAAATCAGACACAAAAGAGGTAATAATTTTGCTGCCCTACAGAAATAATTAACATAATTTTGATAAATTACATGATAAGAGAATCTCAAAATTGAGCTAGATTTATCTTAATTAATATCTTGGACCGGCTCTGAGAGGTAAACTGGTCCTCGGGGGGCTGGGGCAGGCTGAGGCCAGGGTGAGACGTGACCCCGGCCGAGGCTCCCTTTGTCACTGAGGCTGGGGGCCCGGGCGGGCAGGCAGAGGGAGCTGGGCGCGCCGGAGCGGCCGAGGCAGGGCCAGCCCTCTCCGGGCCTCAGCTTCCCTCCCTTTCAGCCTGGTGGCCGGCCCGGCGGGCCTCACGGGGACTTCCGCTCTGCCTGGCTCTCTGGCCAAGCTCTCCCAGCCCGACACTGCTGCGTCCTGGGATACCAGCCGCCAGGTGAGCCACGCGCCTGCCTGCCTCCCTGCGCACACCTGGCCAGGGAGGCAGGGGACCCCGAGATACAGTTCCAGCAGCCTGTGTCAAGTTTCCAAAGGGCCTGAACTGGGTTTGAGCGGCTCTCTGGGCCTCAGTTTCCCCTTGCTGGATGGGCATGGAGACTCTGAAGGCTGCTGCCTGCCCCTCCTGTGCCCGCCTTGCCCACCCCCATTTCCCTGCCAGTCCTGTGGCAGGTCGGGGGACGTTTACCAAACCAGAGGGACTTTCAAAGACGGAGGACTTGCCCGGTGCCGTGGGCACCCAGAACCCCAGGGCTGGCCAGCCCGGCCTCTGGGGCCGGAGACCGTGGGCATTTGGTTGTGCGGGCTGCCACAAGGCAGGCTGAGAAGACGTGACGGCGGGACCGTGCCGGACCCCCAGAGGCTCCACGCCCGGGCCTCGGTTGCCCTGCTATGGGCCTGCCCTGGAGTGCCCAGCAGAGCGCGTGTTCCGGGCCAGGAACTGAGGACAGAGCGCATGGCAGGGCTGGCGGGCACGAAGGGGACACAGTGAGGGGAGGCCACAGGAGCCAGAGCAGGAGCCCATGATTTCTTCTGCCCAGGCTGGGCCAAGGGCGGAGTCTCGGTGCTGTGAGTTTACAGGTGAGCGGCTGGGCTGGCAGGCAGCGCGCTGGGATGCCAGTCCAGGAGACTGACGGGGTCCCAGCGCACTCCCCTCCGCTTCCGGGGCAGCCTCGGCCCTCCCATCCGGGACGGGGAGACCCACGCCTGCCTCACCGGTGGCCCCTGGCCCCTGGCCCGGGGAGGGGGGTTAGGAGGTCTTTGTGAACCACGACAGGTGAGGGCACACACGGTGGTGACCCCGCCTCCCAACACTGGACCTG